GGGGGGGGGGGGGGGGGGGGGGGGGGGCAAAAATTTTCAACTGTTGGCTACGGGCTTGAACAGTGGAAAAACAATGAGTATAATAAAAAAAAAAAATTTTTTTTTAAGGAGGTGGGCATGGATAATGTAGCCCACCCCTACCTCCGCGCTCCCAGGCAACTGCAAACGCCAGTGCTCCCAGGCAACAATGGAGGGGCTGCATACAAGGATTCTAACCTGTAAATTTCGGTGGATCCAGCACGAGCGGCCGCGCAACCTCGTCGGGTGCTAGATTTGCCCCTATTCATACCGGACAATTTGCTTTAGAAAATGAATCTCAAATACGTTAGAAACGTGGTCGAGCCGTTGGTTGAAAAGACTATGTACCTCGAAAAGTAAAAGTACAAGAAAAAAATAATTAAAAGCTTCAAAAGATGTAACATTAAAAATATTTATCAATCAAATATTGAAAATATGGTTCATGAAGAACCACAAGTGCTCGAAAAATAATAAAATTTTAATAAATTATATGTTATCTCACAAATTATGAGAACGAAATAATATTGTTACAAACGATATTTATGTTTTTAATGTGGCTCTTGATATTATGCAAAATGAGAATTTTAAACTACAGTTTGTTAAAAAATTTCAACATAGAAATGATTGGTCAAAGGAAATAAGCCATACGGAAGGAATTGAATTCCCCAGAGAAACGAAAGTGTTTGGACTAGTAGTTCGAACATTTGAAAATGTAATCCCTGTAAGATACAAATGGATTTTTGTACGAAAGAAAAATGAAAATAATGAAATTACAAGATACGAAGTCTGACTCGTAGCTCAAGGTTTCTTACAAAGACTTGGAATTGATTATGAGGAAACATATTTTCCCTTGATTGATACCATCACTTTTAGATTCTTAATAATTTGATTGTATCACAAAAGCTCAATATGCGCTTATGGATGTAGTAACTGCATATTTGTATGGTTCACTTGATAGTGACATATGTATGAAAGTCCCCCAATGACTTAAAGCGCCCGAAACACTATTATGAAAGTGATGAGCAAAATAATAATGAAAGTAATTTTCGAGATAAAATTGATGAAAGTGATGTTGGAGATGAAAACAATGATGAACTTGGTGATGAAATAAATGTTCGGGATGAAACTAATGAAACTGGTTAGCCTCCGTTTAGTCATCATTATTTGAAATTTTAGTTGTTGAAATAGTATTTTTTTGAAAAATGCGTGGTTAAAAAAGAAGAAAAAGTTTTAAGATTACTTATAATATTATTTTATTAGAAAATGTGTGATTGATAAGAAGAGAGAGAAAAACGAATTATAATTTTAATGAGAGTCAAACATGGGCTAAACTAATTTTGGAGGCGTTCTAATTGAAACTAAGATCGAGAATGTTAAGAATGAAAACGTGCAGATAATCACTCTAATAAGATATCAAATACTTTTATGTTTTTTTTTTTTTTTGCAAGATTAATTTTGCCCCCTAACTCAAAATTTCTATATCCACCAATGATGAAACTCATAAAATTTGAGTATAAAAATAATTATTGACTTTGATTGTACATTTTTTTAACTTCACAGTGTATAAAAAAGTCTTATTTTAAATAAAATTCTTATAATTAATTGATAGGACTTTTCTCCCATTCCAACTGCAAGTGCTAAGCTCTCTATTTCACCGGCCGACACCGACTGGGCGTAGCAGATAAAGAATCGAATTCAACTTCACGCCACTAATTTTGATTCCGAGAAAAATAATCCGGAAAAAGGAAAAAATTACGGAGCGATGAGCAGTAAAATCACAATAGGGAGATCTCGGCAGTTTTTTATTTTCTATTTTTTGGTATTTCTTCTTCGATCAATTACAGGTTTGCTTTCTTTTCAACTAAGCAACTGTATGTGTTAATTGCAAGTAGTTTTTCTAAAACATGGTATTTTTTGGTGAACTTTGAGATTTTTATTTGTATCACTGTTTAGGTTATTTTTTTCCCCCATAAATCTGAAATATAGATCGAACACGGATTTCCTTCCAAAGTTTATGCGTGACTAATTCCTAATTTTATTGTATTAGTTTTATATTTGACATCAATTATTAGTTTTGCTTTGACGTTTGAAACGTTGCGTTATTTATCCAGTTGTAGCTTTTGATGGAAATCGCATATGAAAAATTGAAAATCTTTATGAATTATGGGTGCACAGTACCGTGAATATCTACCACTATCCGTTGTTTCTATTATTTGAACTCGATTTTCACAAAATGTAGACAGAATCAGGAGTAATGTCTTTTAAATTTCAAATCTCTAGTTTTCCTGACCATTTTTTTTTAGCATTTTTAACATTATTAACTTATTATTTTGGGTACTTTTGCTGATATTGTTGGTATCATTTCGATTATTATGCTTGAGATTTCATTATTTAGATAAAGATTGATTTGATAGTTTAACCAATTAATTGTAATAGACTAATTTATCAAAAAAATTGAGCTATTCTTCGACTTTGTGGAAACATTTGTCTTCAAATTTAAATTGTTCATGGCCTTTTTGTTCTTTTGTATTATAAACATCAAGTCCCTCTTAACACAACTACTAAAGACGGATAAAATGTTGAGCTTTATAGCTGAAATAATCCAATGATAATTGGAATCAAGGATTTTCTTTATGGTCCATGTTAAATACTGGATAATCATTTGCACAGGGAAAGGAAATGGATTTTTGTTTCAGTTTCAACGCACGCTATAAACTAAGGATCTTCTCAACACAAGTTTTATCTTAGTCATTTTTATTATTAATATTCCATTTAATTAGGACTAATATATTGAATGCCTACGATGTCTTTGTAGGACTGGCAGACAGCTCATCAACATCAAATTCCAAGAATGCGAGTAAGAAGTCATCTAGTAGATCTATCGGATTGGAAATACTCCTTATATGCCTTGGGCTGTTGGCCGCAATTGCATTTGTTGTTTTCTTATTCAAGCTGTGGCAAAGGAAGAAGAGGGAGGAGCAACATGCACGTCTTCTAAAGCTTTTTGAAGAAGATGATGAGCTCGAAGTCGAACTTGGTATCCGTGATTGAGATTGGATTTTCTTGTTTTTTATTCAGATGTGATTAGTGGAGGTTCAGTGCAACTCTGACTCTCTTTTCATCATGTCGTAGATGCTCCTACTTTTGAGGTTATTCGCGGAAGGCAAGTTCTTGCTTTTTTAATTTCTACAAGCATATTTCGATTTATGGATGTGGTCATTGTAATGTTTGAAGTTGATCAAATTGTTCAAAATATTTTACATATGACGAATCTACCAAGGTCTTCACTGTAATTACATGGCTCGCCCACACATGAAATGCAGTGATGCGATAATAAGAATTTCTAGGATCCGTGTATCTACATTAGCCAACAAGAATCTCATTTCCATCTCCTGCCACCAAATAAATAAAACAAATAAGCATAATAACCTCGTCTGTATTTTGCTCTATGTTAAAATGCATTGCTTGTGAGTCTCAAACGTGCTTCTGGTTACGCTAACATGCACGTGGCTTCAATCTTGTGTAAGGATGTCAAGAGTTGTGACTACAGCCAGGACTGATAATCATAAGTGAATGTCTTGACTGTTTGAACTCCTTTTTTTCTTTTTTCTTTTTACTTCATATGTTTAGGTGGATATGAGGTTCTTAAGTTATCCTAAGTTCATACCAGTCATCAAAGTTATCAATGTGTTATCTCCTGTTTTATGTTGCAGACGGACATTTAAACTCTTTCTGTATCTTGTTAAACGATCATGCTCGTTACGCGGTTTTCACTTGCTTTATTGTTTTGTCACTAATTGACCATTCTCTTTACTTTTTGCGAGCTTCACACGTTCATTAAAGCAAATTAGGTAGCTACTGATGGTAGGTTTGGAAAAGACGGAATACATGCAATTCCACTTCTCTAATGGTAGGAATAAATAAGGATAATAACAGAGACTACATAGTTAATATATTATTTTAAGTAGTGAGGTTCGATTATTAACAAAGAAAGAGGAACTGAAGACGAGGTAGTGCACAAAATTAGAACGCTTTGAATGCAATGGGAAGTGTTGCACGATTCTGTGTGATAGAAAGATTGAAAGATCAGTTCCGAGTGTTTGGCTGTGAAATAACAAAAAATCATAAAATTATTGTAGCGGAAATAGGACTATTAAGATGGATGGGTGGTCGTACTAAACTAGACAAGAAAAGAAATGAGAATATACACAACGGAATAAAATGAGAGACGACCAAGGTGGTTATATCTGTTGAAGTTGTTGCTTTGGATGATAAAATGAATTGATATAGCCAACTTCAAATGGAAACTTCCCCCATCTTTTACGTCGTGCTATTAATTGTACCATCGACTATGCAAGTCCATTGGCCCTCGCCACTTCAAATGGAAACCTTCCCCATCTTTACGTTGTGCTCTTGTACCATCCTGTCTCATTTCGAACGGACACTAGTGTTGACCATGGAATCCCACACTTCAAATGGAAGCAAGTGTCGATTTTGCCTCACTGGATTTTTTATTCTTATATGTAAATCTTAGACGCACCATGAAAACTACCGAGTTGGTATGGGAGCAACTCAGCAAAGGAAGGAATTTTCAGCTAAACTCTTGCTTGGCACAAAATGCACAATTGAATTAAAACAATAATAATAAATAAAAAGTAAACTAGCCAACAAATGTCACACCACATTAACAGCAAAACTTGATGTTTATAACAGATAAAACTGTTTTCCCAGATTAATCTCTAAAGCCAAATTGAGGAAGACAAAATACAGGAACACGAGTAACAAAATAAGTTCTAACAATCTTTAAAGTACGAAATTTATCTAAAAGACGAGCTCATGAGGTTTCATTCCAGCCTTTAGAGAGAATCTTGCACCCAAATAGAACTTCAATTCTGGAACACACTCGATAGCTTTTAATAAAGCTGAATCAACAGCTTTCTGGTCATCTTTCTTCTCTGCTGGGAGCACATTCTTCTCCTACATTACAGAGAATGTCAAAACCAATGAATAAAAAAAACCACAAAAAATAACAGGATAATTATTTTTCTACGGCAAACCTTTTTTTCTGCCTCAAAGAATTCTGACTCGCCCTTCTTCTTCTTTTTCTCAGCTTGCTTAGCGAAGTACTTGTCATCGTACTTCTCCAGAGCCACCCCAGAGATGTCAACCTTTGTTGAAGTAGCAACAACATAGGCCTGGTTGACACGTCTTAGAGGAACACCATTGATCTTGAATGGTCCTAGAGCGACAATTAAATAAAAATAATGTAATTGCAATGCAGCAGAAGGCAATTCAAAGAGAGCTATTTCTGTATGAATTACTGGTTGATCAGAGAAATAAATATTGCAGTAAGTACATAATGAGTGCACAGCAAGAGATGAAGGACAAAATTCCGTTAAGGTATAAAACTTAAGTAGCAAACAACCTTGAAAATTATACTTCAATCACAACCTAGATAATCATGGCCAAACACAAGCTAATATTATATTTTAGCTCGATTGCAAAGGGCAGCTATAATTTGGCCAATACAGCCTTGAAGATTGCATATAAGATAAACACATTATGAAAAAAATTCACGACGACATACACACATTTTGATAAAGCTTGGCATCATCATGTGATTTGTCCTAGGAATTGAGTAATTCAGTAGATATTTTTTTAAAAACAGCCTAAAAAACCAAAAGCGAAGCATAAGTAAAACTTACCCTGATTAATATACTATTAACCTCATTGAGAAACGAGTTCCAATTCAAGCTTCTAACGGAAGATCACATAACTAGAATGTCATGGCTAGTTAGGATACCTTCAGGTTATCTTATTAGTCATCATCATAGTGGCAAATAATGACTTGTTAAAAAGGGATACCATTTAGTTATGCCATACAGTATTTCAAGAATTCTTTGAACATGGTAAATGAATTTCTCATGGCTAAACCCAGGAGGCTATGGCAGAGAACCTGCTCCACAAGGAGCTAGGATATGAGAATGCCCTGTTCCAACTAGTGGGGGTTTGGTCCACAAAATAAAGTTGCTTCAACCACAGCATTAAGAAGGGCTCTTTCTGAGAATTTTAAATCACTTGGGTCATACAAGCATTCTTTACAGATCAAACCAATATTAGTGAATCGTCACAAGAAGGAAAATAAAAATACAAGAATCATGCATAAAAGTCCACCCTAAAAGTCAAAAATGTCTGAAACAAAGAAAACATAGTTCATAACAACATTTTCCATACCAAACTACAATAATGTTCACATGATTCAATGCCAATTAACACACAGGAGCATATTCAAATAAAAACTAAGATAAACATGTAACATTCATACTTCATTGCATGGATAATAACATTTGCACAATGGTTTTCTAAGCACAATTCAAATTTTTTTATATAATTGTGGCACTGACATGATGATCCGGGTCAGGGACGGAAAATCCAAATTTGTAAATTAGCAGCAAATATTTATATTATACATTCACATAGAACTAGCTAACAAAACATATATAAACACACACACACTAACCAGTAACAAGCAACAATCCAGAAGCCAGCTGCTTCAAAAAAAGCACGCGCTTCCCCTTAAATCTTCCAGTCAATATAATCAACACTGTCCCTGGAGTGATGCTTGCTCTACACCCAGAAACATAAAAAGCAAAATAAATACATTGATCGTAAACTGAACAAATTATAACCTACATCTCAATTTAAACAAAAGCCAAACAAAACAAGCAAATCTGAATAGTACCTAAGCTTTGTGGGTTTGTGCTTGCGCTTGTTGGAAAGCGGCTTCTTGACATCATCGGCAGGGTAGAATTTGGGAGCCTTCTCGGCGGCTGGCTCAGCTGCTACAGATTTCTTTTCGTGGGTTGGGAATTTGCCTCCGTTCTTGGCCTTGATAGCCCAGAGTCCCCTCTTGTGGTACATCTGGGAACGCGAGTGCTTCCGGACACCACGGATCAATTCCGGGTTACGGGTCACTCTCAGAGTTTTGGGCGCCATTTGAGATGAAATGTGTAGCGTGACTTGTGAGGTGAGATGAGAGCAAACAAGAAGAAACCTAATTACAGGGAACAGCATATATAGACCTGTGTTGTAAAACCCTAGTTTGATTATGGCCTTTTGGGCCCAGGAAACGAGAAAAATCGGTTATATGGGCTGGTCTGTTCTAATGACACAAATAGCCTAGTATAGTTTAGGAACTTCAATTTTAACGATAAATTTCAATCATGCTATATATACATCATGGTTAACAACAAATTTGATGCTCTTTCATGTGATAACAATCTATATCATTGATTTTAAACATGTATATCACATCACAGTCCGATTCCTTTCACCTAAAGGGATGTCATTTAAGGATGTTCATCTAACTTAATTCGATAAATTTTTAATTGGTAAGAAATAATTAAATTGCATATCCCTTTTTTTGAATAAATACAAGGCAGCACGTGCTAACCGACACGGACTCTTACGACTGAGTCTAGCATGTCTCTCTAGTAGAGATAGGTTATATCAAACTTGAGCCATAATTTCAAGTGTTAATATAGACAAATAAAATTTAGCTTTTTGTGGGGATCAAAATCAGATTTTTAGTATGTTTTGATAAAAATTAATGAAATGTGTAATTGAGAATTTGTGAATCTCATTAAATATGTGATGAAAATTAATTGTTAACTTTGAGAAATGCCAAACATGGGCTTAATCTTTCAAGATTTTTTTTGAAAACAAGTCATGTTTTGTGACTTTTATCTCGCATCATTTCATAATTAATAATTATTTATCAGAAGATTTTGTATATGATCGATCTTATTAATAAATCATTTTCATTATTAAGGATGGTGCAATTTTTTTTTTAAAAAGAATAAAAATTCGAAGACTATACCATAATACTACATTAAATAAAATCAAGCTCCTAGGATCTCCAATAATAGTTTCAGATGAGAGGCCATAAATTTTCCCCAATAACAGTAACTTTCACCCTATCAAATTCACCAACGGTTACCATCTTCACTATTTTGTTTATTCATTTAGAATCAAGGCAGTGAATAAATCAACTCTTCTTGACTTAATAAATAAAATAAACGAACTGCAATTTATTTATAAAGAAATAGGAAAATTCCAAAATTCAGTCAAGGCAATCTCCCCACAAGATAAGAATCCTAACAGTAGCCCCTTAGGGGGTGGACAAGTTGGTGTAGCAGATGAACGCGGGAATCAAAGGTCACGAGTTCGAATCCCCTGTCAACACTTCCTCGATCGAGCCCGTTGTAACATGTTTGTCTAGTGCAGTTTACCTCTTCTATTTGATTTGCGAACTACTGCACATGGAGCAGAATTTACCTAGTACGAACTCTCAGTGGTCGGACCTCCACAGGAAGGTAGCGACTACGGGTTCCTACGTCCCAAAAAACAAAAAAAGAATCCCAACAGTAGATATAAAATCTCAACGATAAGAACCCCTTTATATAGGATTATTTTATTTCCAATATACGTCACAGACGCATTGCATAGTTAAACCTCATTAAAGGCACACCATCGGGAATGGATTCAATCAGCGGACTTCCCTCGCCACCTGGATTGAAGATGGTCCCACCTTTCAACTGCTGAGCGAAGCGAGTCTTTTTTCAATTTTTACTTTTTTGAAAATTTATAGTTAAAAAATTCCATTGAGCGTGTCTGCAGGCCGACCTTTACATAATCTAACCCGGTGCACCAAACAGGACAGAGCTATTTAGTGAAGAATCATTTAATCTGCAATAAAAGCAATTATTCCCTTTGGCTTTGTCTGCTTATATTCATTTAGAGCTAACAGCAGAACAACTCAACTCAACTCAACCTACATAGCACTCAACAATTAAAAGTCCAAAACAATCTTGGCAATACATTTGGAGAGGAAAAAGAGAAGGAAGGCTTCGAGATACAGAAAATGCAGACTTCAGAGCAGCAATGCAAATGTCGACTTCAGTCCTGCTCATCCTGGAAAATTCAAAACAAATAAATGTAAATACATACGCAATAACATATAAAGCAGAATCATTTTAATATATACCCATGAAACAGCACAAATATAGCCAAATGCAGAATAACAATACTGAAAGGTTGAAACCTTTGTTTCTGGCAAACATGGATTAGAAACTAGAAGAAAATAAGCTACAAAATAAATAATCTCAGTTATAATATACAGATGAAATAGAAAGGTGAAACGAAAAATTCAACCATGAAAATTCACTGTGTTTTAATTATCACGCTCAAATGGATCTAGTGAAAGTAGAACAGATTAAGAATGCAATGCTTTGCTTTCATTTTGCTCTTTAATACAGGAACTAAGTGGAACAAGCAAACAACGCTTTGAAATGAGGCAAGACACATAAATTGATGATCGACAACACTGAAAAATTCTTGAAAATGCAAGCTTTCTCACTATTCTCAGACGAAAATTAAATCCAAAAGTGCGCAGAGACAGAGATATTAATACGAAGTGTGTGAAGCAAAAGAATAATGGCCTACTTAGATGAATTATCATAAGCAGATAGATAATGAACTAGATTCAATTGAAAAGAAAAAGCCTTTTAGCCCTATGTGGGAAAGCATTTAGCTTTTCGTAGACGTAGGGGAATCCAAAAAAATTAAAAAAGAGACCAGGATCCAGGACCACGTGATAACAAAAATCCCTTCAAGTATATGTTTACTTCAAGGTAATTTCATAGATGAAGACCTACGCAAGAATATAAGAGTCCAGATCTACTCTCCAAAGCGTCTTCGCCATAGCTGTCCCCCAATTAAATGTTGACATGTCGCCAAATTAACTCATAAGCAATTTATGATTTATCCATATTAACTCACTAAACACTACTGTTACCTCTCTCTCTCTCTCTCTCTCTCCCCCTCCCTCCCCCACAAAAGCAGAATGTGCAGTGACTTGCTAACTTCATTTTTTCTCTTTTCTTGCTTAGAAAAAAAAAAAAAACTCAAATGATTTTTAATTTTCAAGCTTTTTTTTCTTTATAACAATTTATTGCAAACAAACCCAACTTTTCTTATGTAGAAATCAATTTCATGTACGTTTTTTTTTTCAAAGAAAGAGTGATATTTGATCATTATTATTTTTTTTCAAATTAATATGATAAGTTTGTTTTTATGAACAAACGGTAATGAAAATAACAAGTCAACCTCGTAAATTAGAATTTTCAAAACACTCATAAATTGAAAAATCCAGCTTAGCAGCAATATAATGTAAGAATATTCTTAGACAAGTACAAGACATGAAAATATTAAATTACGATATCAAACCCAACTACATAGCATGACTGGTTTCTATGGAGTCATCAAAGTGATTATCGTTAAATCCAAATCCTTGATATAATAATGAAAATAATAATGTCGTAGGGCCTACTTTAGCTTGTAAAAAAGAAGAAAACAATATTAATCAAAATAACTTCATTTAATGTATCATAAAAAATTATTAAGATAAATAAAGCATACATAGAACTTGTTATAATAATTCAACAGAACTTACTATCATCAAGATCAACATGAGACTCAATCTAGGTATATATTCGATAATTACTATCACTAATATTCAATCTAACCGTTGAAATATACAGTAAATTAAATAAATATTACTTTAAGCATAACCCTCAGGACATTAATTCAATAGAACATGAGAAAATAAAAAGTAAATTGTTTTAAAATAAATTTCTACTGTCTTCCAACTTGTGTACTTGTTTGAAAAAAAAAGTACATGAAATTGATTTAAAAATAAGAACGTTTATTTTGTTTGTAATAAATTGCTACAAAGAAAAAAAAATCTTCATTCAGATTTTTTTAATTAAAAATCATTTTAAATCAAATTAAATATTAAGATATCATCTTTCAAAAAAAAATTTAAAACACATTTCAATTTTTCTATTTATCATCTAAGCAGAAAAGGAAGAAAATAACAATGAATATAGCAAGTCGTGCACATTCTACTTTTGTGGAGTTTCGGTAGAGAGGAAGTCATTGATGGAGAGTAACAACGTTTAGGTTGAGATAAAATGGATAATTATAAATTGAAAATATCAACAGTTAATTGGGAGGCAGCTTTGGTGTCAACGGAACTGGGCTCAGAATATAATCGCATTTTCAATTTTCTTTATAATTTTTATCGAACTCTGTATTTTAAAAATGATATGATCTCAAGTTGCATCTCGGGTTTAGGAAAATGTCACTTACGAAAAAGGGCTAAATTTTTTTCCCTGTTCTTGTGGGTTTCATTAGGAAAACTAACAGGTGGTGCCACATATCAATGTTATGTCGTGAAAAAGATAGAAAAGGCATGTTGTGAAAAGAGAGGAAAAAAAAAGGGAAATCTTGTATGAATGGAGCAAGTCACACTATTCATCCTAAAAACTTCATGTATGAGATTGCGTTCTTGCATTGATGAACTTGTGAAATTGGAGATTTGGTTTTTATTTGAAATGTCAAAACACTGTCAATTTTGGTGGTTATTGTAATTGTCACGTGAAAGTTCAATATACTCGAGCCTATTTACAACCTAATTTATGAACAAGACACAGTTCTCTTTGATGCAAGTTTAAAACATGTTAAATGATACACGAGTATAAAAGGGCAAATAAAATTAAAAAAGGTAACAGACCCTAGAGACATGAGGAAGGAGAAGAAAAGAAAACAAAGCTATAAATTTAAAAACAAAAAAACAAAAAAAAGTCACATAAAGATACAAAAATGGCAGTACTAAGGATCAAACAACTGTCTAAACTACACAATTCAGGTATTGAACCAGTGTAGTCTGCAGATATGCACACAACTTAGGGTGTGCTTAATTGGCTTTATTTTCCTTGGAAAATGTTCTTTTTTCACCGAAGTTCCTACTTTTGGGATGTTTGATTGACATTTTTTTCTATGAAAAATATTTTTCAAAAATTGATCACGTCACGTGACCATGTTTTCCTCAAAAACAAGGAAAACGTTTTCTTTATGAGTAGATTTTAATTTTC